GCCTAGAGAAAAGAAACAGAGCTGGGACCATTAGACCAATTCAGTAAAGCTAAACCAGGGATGAATTATGTCTTTCCCTGCACAACGGCAGTTGCTGCCCTTTGCTATCATGCGTGAGAGTTTAAATTCTCTTCAAGGTTTTACCATTGAATTTTTCTCCACTCCCACAATTTATAAACCAGATCTTCACCTTTTATGGTGAATAGCTTGGAGAGAGAAAGATGATTGACAGGAAGGCTGACAAAAATAAATTACACTGCTCAGATAAATCAGTCCCCCTTCTGACAAGTCCTTCTTCCCTTCGGAGGAAGGGTATGAAAGTCTGCGTTAAGAGCTGCACAAAGAAAGCTATTTGCAGTGCACAAGACGTTTCAGTGGTCCTCCAAAAGCTATGACCAGAGCTGTATGTTCCAGCTAATCTAACTATTTACATATATAGAGACAGAAAACTCCTGTAACAGTACCCAGAGACCATTCAGGGTGAAAACGTGAAATTCTTGTCAATAATCCAAAATTCACCTGAATAATCACCCCAACTCCAGCAAGAGCAGACTGTGACTGCCCAGTCACAGTGATATTTCTCAGAGAGCACGACAGTCACTGTACATTGGGGCATCTGCACTTCCTTGCAATTCATTTCCAGCAGCAACTCAGGATGCTGATTTTGACCTCTTGAGTCTTCTAGGGTTACAGAGGGTCTCTCTCCGTGTGTTTACAGAGGGTCTCTCTCCATGTGTTTACCCTGACATATTTGATCTGCCTATACCCTTGAATTAACAGCCCTCAGATTTAAACACTGGTATGGAGGTTGGACGATACAAACTCCCAGCTTTGCATCATTATGTATTTTGACACAACCATTCATATAAATTCTGTATGTGGATGTAAATATGTGAAGCTAGAATCCTACGGAATTGTGCCTTGGTTTATTGCTAGACTGAAATGTACAAAGCGAGGTTATAAAGACATTCACTGTGCTAAATGACAACATGTCAACAACTAGAGATTTAATGGTGATTAGTCCTACAAAGTAATTAGTACAATGAAGACTATTCATTACCAAATCTAGTTAATTGCCAAAATATTACTTTTCTTTAAAAAGGAACATAATTAGAGAAGTATGTTTCCTAATTATGATTTATGGCCTTGGAATTGTGCAAATGATATGCATTAAATGTTTGAGTATTGAAGTCATCCCCAGTTTCACATTAATTCTTTTATTGCCTTCCAACTGCTTTCCATCGTTAGAAAACTGGAAAAAAACAACCCCATTATCCAATACACATTTGCGGAAGGGATGCCTTATTCAAGTTACTATATGCGATATGATCGCTCAGTTATAAGGCAATTTTCAACTCTCCATTTAATACAACAGAAGAGTCAAAATTGTATCTATCAGACTAAATCCAAGTCATTTTTGTAATCTACTCAAAATAACTGATGTCAACCCCATTGAGCGGTTTTTTGGTTTCTTAAGGACTGTATATAAAAGTGTTCTGAAATGCAACACAGTAACCAATTAGAAAGCTCATTGCAAGGAAAACACTTTGGATCAGCCAGGCCAGCCACATCATACTGTTTACTATTACATTAATTGGACTCCTAATCAATAATTGTGCCACTAGATCATTTTGAGGCCACCGGGCAAAATAGAAACAACTGAACTATTAAACCCATGTAAGATCAAACTAACTGCCTTCGGAAGTATCTGTGGAATCTTGCATCCATCAAGGCAATTTCAAGCGCTCAGAGAAATATAAAAACACAGCAATCCCCGTTATAGAATCTTACATATTTTCCTGGAAAAGCGGGGATGGTTTCTGAAAAGGAAAAAGGAAGAAGGATGCAAGTTACATCCATCTTCTGATCAGCCCACTTTACACTTTAAGTGTAACTGATAAAGCAGTGTAACGTAACCTGCATTGTTCTGATATTCCCCGAGGGTCTATTCCTATAGATGCCATTGAATTCTATGGGAATCTTGCCATTGATTTTCAGTAAAAGGCCATTAGTGTGTATAAGAAGTAACTTTCGCTCAGAGGAAGCAGGAAGGAGGGTGTGGCTGGGGAAAACAAATAAGTGAACATTTTGTAGGCTATATGAGAAGACAGATTTAATAATAATAATGGAGATATTCCATCTGGAAGGGACCTTGAAAGGTCATCAAGTCCAGCCCCCTGCCTTCACTAGCAGGACTAAGTACTGATTTTGCCCCAGATCCCCAAGTGGCCCCCTCAAGGATTGAACTCACAACCCTGGGTTTAGCAGGCCAATGCTCAAACCACTGAGCTATCCCTCCCCCCAATATTTAGTGAGTACCCTGCTACGCCCACACCTCATGTCCCCTCAGCATGTAAAGTACACTCCTTTAGGCAAAAGGAGAATCAGGCCTGATGGGAGCAGCAGGAGATGATGGATTTGCTTGATGGAAAACCAGTGCGAGATTCCGGCCCAGTCACCACACCTACAGGCTGCCAAACTGAAGCCAGTTCCACAGCTCTGTCTCTTATTAAATTTCTGAGACCTGCTCTACATCTGAAAATTAGATCAGCCTGGCTACAGTGGTAAGGCTGTGAAAAATTTTATGCCCCGCACGATGTAGTTAGGTTGACCTAACCCCCATTGTAGATGAGCTTGGTCAACGGAAGAGTTCCACCATGACCTAGCTGCTACCTCTTGGAGAGGCGGATTAACTACATCGATGGAAAAAACCTCTTCCACTGACGTAGGAAGCATCTGCACTACAGTGGCACAGCTGCAGTTCTGGCCCTAATTTCTCCTATAGGCTGGGCTCCCTGGAGGACTACATTTCCCATAAGGCAATGGGCTTATGGGATTGCGCTCTGATTGAGCTGTGTAGTGAATCAAGGGAGTTGCATGGATCTATGTGCGTTATGGGAGACAGTCAGGCCAGGGAGCCTGGCTCCTAGAGGAGAATGGAGGCATCAGGCTCCCAAACCACATCTCCCAAAATGCACCTCCCATGATGCGCTATGTATCTCAGTTGGAGAGATATCAGCAGATTGGTGTATGGGAAAGGTAGTCTTCCAGGCACCGGACACAATGGGCAGGGCCGTCCTTAGGCATACGCAGCCAGGCACCACTAAACTGGGGGCGCCTCCGCCGGGACGGGACAGCAAGCAGGTAAGAGCGGTCAGGTCGTAGTGCCAAATCAGCCGGCACAGTGGCGCACTCTGAGGGAGGGTACTTCTGTGGTCTCTGGGAAGGGGCGGGGGAACTCACCTGTGTGACTCTCTCCCCACCGCCGTGAGGCGAGGGGGTCGTGTGGCACCGGCTCTGGCGGTATCCTTTTGCTGCCCCAGCGTAACGCACATTCTTCTTCTCCTCCCCCCGCAAAGTTGAGTCCTCCCCCCCACCAGCGCTGAGCACAGCCCCCCTGTGGAGTGGCCGACACCCCCTCAGCCCTCCCCCGGCAGAGCTGGGTGGGGTGCAGGTGCTCGGGCTGGCTGGCTGCGTGCCAAGGAAGTGACTCACTTCCTCGGCAGCCAGTCCGAGTGCTTCCGTTCCGACCACACGGGCTAGAATACGCAAAGCTGGCTGGGCTGGGGAGTGTGTCTCACGCAGCTGTGGTCCACCCCAAGGCCCCACAGGTCCCACATCCCTGAGATGCTGCACTTCACCGTGGTGCCGGCTGCGGTACCCGATGGCATGACCTGACCTGAAGATTTGCTGCTGCTGCCACTCTGCACCCCAAGAGATGGATTTTGGGGTCCCACGGCTTTCCACCTCTACTGCAGTTGTTGGACCAGCAGGCCGGGGGTGAGCCAACCATGAAAGCAGTACTGCGTTGCCATTGATCAGCTTTGAGCATTTTTTTTTCAACCTTACGTTTTGCGCAGGATTCAAAATATATCGGTTTTTCCTTTTTTGCCAGAGTCTTGGTGGCATTTTAAATACCTTTATCAAAATCATGTTAGATTGTCATTTTACAGCTTTGTTTGCCAAAAATGCTTGCTAACAATCCTGAATCCAATTGCAATATATATATATATTTTTTTAAATCAATATCTTAGCCAAAATCAGAAAATTAAGTTGTTGACAATTATTTGTGACAAGTTTGGTTTGGGGGAGGGAGTGGGCTAGTTTTCAACAGAGAAACAAAGAATATTAGCAGGGAGTGGAAGGACAGATGTGATTTTACGGCCTTAAAATGCTCCCAACAAAACATTTTCTGAATTGCAGACAGCATTGTAAGTGCACTATTCAGTACTATTTGTCATTCACTATATTTGTTAATAAGTAAACATAGTACCATGCAATTAAAAGGTAACGTTAATATTAGCCAAGTGTCTGTGCTAGTCCCAATTTACCAGGTTTAAGTGTAATTAGTGGCCATCAAAATATTTATAATTTTACTTTTTGACTAATTTTACTGAAGCATTTGGGGTGCTGTCTCTAGTACAGAGGTGACACAGATTACTTGCTAATGACAAGCGCAGAGACTTTAATGATGCCCTCTATTGCAATATGTAAAGCTTTTCAAGGCCTTTGCTATTCTTGTTGGGTCACCACATACATTATGACAGTACCCTCAAAGAGCCAAATTTTCTCTTTTCTGCATTCCATGTCACCCCCATGGGCTACCTTCATCCCTGATATTTCTCTACACATGCCACCAGGCTGAATGAACGGGAGAATTTGGCCCAACTGACCTCAACAGCAATGTGGAGGTATCCATTCGGACAGAATTTAACCCAAAAGTAAGAACATGAAGTATTAAGATACATTTAGCATGGCACTAAACTTAGCACAGATGATTTAACTGTTGAACCATAATTTAATTTTCTTTAAAATATTTTGGGAGAATTGGTTTAAACAGCACTGAGTTTATTTGTTGGCTGTCAGAGCCCATCCAAAGAGATTTGGATGGAACTATTAATGCAGAAGAGGCCATGCAACACTTGTTCATAAGAAACCATTGTCCGCTGTGCTCATTTGTGTATTTCATGCCCAACAATTGCCTCACCATCACGCCTTACCTCGAAATAACTTTGGACTGCATTAATGAAAGCTTCATCAGCCACAATCTGCGTTTCTCCATTGAGAAATGCTTGGAATCGATCCTTGACTATCTGGAGCTGCTGCTTGCTTATCTGCAAAGACATTTCAAATGAAAAGAGATTAGTTAGCAAAATGGAAATTATGGAATTAAAATAACCAAATAAATAACCTATATAATATTCTATCTTGTAACAGCTGGGCACCCTTGCTCCATACCTGTGAAACCATGAGGCACACCTCTACCACATGGTCTTTTGCCTATTGCAATAATATAGGTTGAATGAGATACAAATACCTTCATCCTGGCAAGTATATTCATACTGTTGGCCACTCCTAAGAACATCTGAAATAATTCCGGGCAATAACCCACTACATCCACATTTTCTTTCCAATGCAAAATGCGCACAAATTGCTACCTCTTCCAAACTGGGAATTTTCTGAACAGAACTACTAAGCCCTCCCCCCACCTCCAGGATACTGGCCAGGTTCAGTGACGACACAAACCACAATATAATTTACACTTGGAGTTAGAAGGGTGCTCTTAGACCTGGACTAGGAAAGAAAGTGGGATTTTGTTGTTGTTGAAATATAGTTATACAATTTGGCCCACTTAGGCCCGAATTTGCACCACCACTTAGCACCTATTGTAGAAGCAGTTTTGCACCTTTAACCCAAGTTAAAGAATAGGCTTGACCATAAACTTCGTTTAGACGAGAATTTTCACTCGACTGATACCCGCTGAAAGAAAAAGCATTTAAATTACATTCATTTTGCACACCCTCCGAACACCAAATCAGCACAGATCAAGCCATTTTAACTGTCAGACCATTTTCTGATCCATCTACAGCTGACACAACTTGAACACCACAGTTCATGGCATAGTTCCACTGATTCTGGCCCAGAGACGTCAATAGGAAGCATACAGCAGACTTATTTTGGCCTTAAGGCAACGGCACACCGTTTTTGTACAGCTCTAACTATCAGTTTAGATACAGAGGTTAAAACTGAGCCGACTCCTAATGTTTACCAATTGGGATTTGGTTCACTGAAACAAGCTATAAACACCTTTCTACCAGTATAACTGAATCCACACTAATAGGGTTGCACTGATTTAACTATAGTCATGTCTAAATGGAGTTAAATGGATACAAGAATCTGTTTGTAGAGCAGCCCCAGGATCTGCCACCTATTGTGTAACTAACGCCCTGTCTAAGCAATCAACTGTTGCCTTTACTTTCGGAATATCATCAAAAGCTGAATATGGCAATAATAAAAGAGCATTTCAAAATTGGGTTTATTCAAATGTGAGGCGTGTGCGAAATGAAAGATTAACTGGAAATAATGCTAAATATAAATACTGAAGTATAACTGGATTCAATGAATATATCTCGATTAAAAAAAGAACTAGATCAATTCATGGAGGACAGGTCCATCAATGGCTATTAGCCAAGGTGGTCAGGGATGCAACCCCATGCTCTGGGTGTCCCTAAACCTCTGTCAGAAGTTGGGACTAGATGACAGAGGATGGATCACTCGATAGTTGCCCTGTTCTGTTCATTTCCCTGAAGCACCTGGCACTGGCCACTCCTGGAAGACAGGATACTGGGCTAAATGGCCATTGGTCTGAGCCAGTGTGGCCATTCTTATGTTCTTAATGAATAATATAAGCTAGTGAGGGAAAAACTAAAATCCAGAGAGATGATTCCTTAAGATGTCATGTGCACACTGATGAGTCCAATGATGATTACAAGAGCAACAGGAACATTATGAAGCAGAAGGTTGGTAGGCTGAGATCCCTGGGTGACTTCTCCAGAATTTGAGGATAAGAAAGAATCTAAATAAGGGAGAGCGAACTAAACAAAATATAGGTGACTAATTAAGTCTTGAAGAGAAAAGATAAGGACATTATGAAAAGCAGAATGAGTTACTGCCAACAAAAGGCACTGAGAAGAATCAGAAGAGTTTGTACAACTACACTGCTACCCCGATATAACGCTGTCCTTGGGAGCCAAAAAATCTTACCGCGTTATAGGTGAAACCGCGTTATATCGAACTTGCTTTCATCCACTGGAGTGCGCAGCCCTGCCCTCCCCGGAGCACTGCTTTACCGCGTTATCTGAATTCATGTTATATTGGGTAGCGTTATATCGAGGTAGAGGTGTACATCAGTGGGAGAAGGAACTACAACTTAGAAAACAGACCGATTCAACATGTAAGAGGGAAATCAAAGTAATGATGATTCTAAAATGGCCAAGTTACCAAACTGGATTTTAAAAATCGCTCTTCAAAATGACAATAAAGCAGAGAAATACAGACCATTAAGAAGTAATGAAGGCCCATTAGATACAGCTGTTGATAAAATGTAGGTGCGGGAACACTTAGAAAATGTGGACATAAATATAACCGGGTCTCGATGACAACTCACAAGGTGCGAATGTGGTTAGCTAAGGAATATTGTGAACGGCGGTAATTAGTTTTGGAATGTCATGGTGAACAAGGTGAATGAGCGAAGGAAATGCAGTGTGGCTATCGGGTTTGGTTTATTTTGCTGCTATCGGAAAGTTCCTTTGCTTTGGGAAAAAAGTATGTCATTGCTTATTTAAGAAAATGAGAAACAAATCTGCATTTCCCCCTTTGCGAGATGGAAAGCGGGAGCGATAAGCAGCTGGCCCACCCGGCTCCAAACACAGCAACATACATGGTGTCTAGTATTTCCTAGCCTTTGTCTTTAACAAAGAAGAACGAAACATTAGGCTCCAACGAACCCCTTCATTCCTTGGGATTGGAGCACCTGACCTGAAATCAGCAAAAATAGCTCCATTTACTCAGGGTTCTAGCTCCTGAAATTTGACCCCGTCAGCAGGAGCCCTGTACTGTTAGGCAGCATCCTAGAACCTACCACACTGGTAATGGAGTGAAAATGAGTTCAGTGGAGAGTTCTGCTGAAATGGGTAAACACAGTCCCTGGTTAGGTGACTAGTGACAATTCAGAGTTCACAGCTCTCAAGGAAACTCAATCAAACGTGGGTAAGTTGATAAGTTATCCTATTTAAAAATAAATCAATAAAGTGCTCAAGCTGGCAACGAGTTCTGTCAGCAGCCCATTACATCATCAGGCCTGAGACGGTCTTTCCAAAGCTTGACAGATTTGTTTGGTTTGACTTGGATGGAAGTACTGAGAAATAGATTGAAAACTGGCCCAACGATCACCACAAAGATAGTGTACTGAGCAAGCGGGAGGCGAGACCAGCAAAGCGCCAGGGGAAACGCTGGTAGGTCTACTTCTACCAAGCACATTGGTGGGATCCATGACAGGACTTAGGTGCTATTATGTGCAGCGTTGCAAGGCCTATCTTCTAGGTGCCTAGAAAAGTCAGAGGAACACCCCTGCATCCCACAAAGCTGAGTTACACCCCCTACACCATGAATGGGGAGAGCACAAGAGCTGCCTAAGAACGGGACCCACAAAGCCAGCACGCTAGGTGGGGAGCCACCTAAGCTTGCTAATGGGAGATGCCGACACGAGGGGTGTGCGCTAAGACCCACCCCTCTCCCAGAGACAGGCACCTAAGACAAGACTGCAGGGAGGTGGCGATCTCTGCTATGATTCATGACCAGGTGGGGGGAGAAGCCATTTGGCTGCTTAAGTTGTTCATAGGGCCTGAAACAAAATGGGGGGGACGGAAAAAACTCCCGTGTAACCTTCAGCCTAGTGCCAGGGTACTCACCCAGGATATGGGAGGCCCCTAGTTACAGAGTCATCCTAACTCCTTCTTTGGCCCAATTAATAGTTAATCAATTGTTTAATTAAAGTGGAACAGCTTCAATAGGAGAGATTGAAGGAGACCCAGTGCTTAGGGCACTCACCTGAGAGGTGTCAGATCCCTGTTCAAGCCCCTTCTCCTCAGGAGGAGGGACTTGAACCAGGGCAAGGGGGTCTCTAAACCCAAGTGAGTACCCTAACCACTAGGTTACAGGTTATAAGGCTCTGCCTTCTTGTCCCCCCACCTCCTAGCTGTATAGTGTGAACTCACCTGCAGGACCCAATCTGGCAGGCAGCCTCTGAACATGCCTACTGGATCAGGCCCCTGTGACTTAGGGAGCCAAACACCTCTCTTCCCTGGTTTGTAATGGCTCCAGGGCATAGGTGGCAGCGGTCAATGGAACCGATGCTGCTCACAGAGTAGTTAGAAGGTGCATTTCTTTTATGGAACTATCCCTTCCCCACCCCCCAAATCTAAGGTATTAATATGGCCCGAACACCTACCAGGAGGCAGTACTGCACATGCTCAGGCAGGAGACAGATACCTGGGTGCCTAGATTGAGGTTGCAGTGTGCATGCTCAGAGCAAACCCTCCCCCACTGTCCCTCTGCCCTACACACAAACACTTTAGGTACCAAGTGAGGTTAGGCACTTACAGGCTTTGATGGCTGTTGAGCAGGAGCGCTGGGGAATTGCAGCAGTGCCTACAATCACAACCTAGATGCCAATGTACCTTCAAGGGTCTCACTCTTTACCCCTCCTCCAGCTTAGTAATAAACAGCACATGGATTACAATTGTAGAGGATACTAAACTGGAAGCTTTTATTAACATCAGTGAGGGACAATGAAATTATTCCAGGAGACAGAGGTTAGGAACCAAGAAAAGCCATTAAAAAAAGAAAATTCAGCCGACAAATATACATCCTGATACACCAGAGGAAGATGTACCTGGTGTCCTGCATCTTCACTTTTCATGTTGCATTTTGTGGGGGCCAAGTGCCACATACTGGTTTGGTTTTTTTGTTTGTTTGTTTGTTTTAAGATAATTTTGTCAGAGAACTTTTTTATTAATTTTCAATTTATAGCACATTACCTCTCACGGCAATTTCCAAAAGCTCGTTTGTTCAATTACTACAAAACAAAAGTCGTTTCTGCTCCACACTTATGCAGGAGATTGGTTGAACTGCCTTCAAAGTGAGTGATGTTGCCTGACATTTCTGGAGACTAACAGCATTCATCTCATGCATTGTTAATTACTCCAGGGGGCAGTGTAAAGGCATCATTGGAAATTTCCTTATTAGAGCTGTGGGTTTGGTTTTCTTTAAACCA